AGCTGCAAAAATAAAACCCAGAGATTTGCTGAAAACGTAGTTTATTGGGGCATATTGCAATATAAAATAGTCTATATCGTGATATATGATCTTTTCCATATCGCCCAGCGCTAGTGCTCGCCATTTGGGGGTCCTGATCAGATATACTGTGTGCCCACACCTACAGTAGAAGTGAATAATATAGGTAATTCCTCTTTATTTCCAAAAGAATTTCTTAATATTAATGTTTGGAAAACAGCTGCTATAAATAAAAGGATAACTGTTTTACCCATCATGGAGGAAAATTAGCAATGACCACAGACTTTAGGAGGGACAAACTGAGCAAACTACAATGAATACAAATCAGCAATGGGGAGTGTGATACAGAACTAGGTCTCATCCTATAAATTGCTGTTAGAATAAAGCCCTACTCACACAGGATAAACATTATCTAGCTGGGAATCTGTGTCATAAATACAAAACTGCCGTTTGTCTGTTTTTATGTGGTGCATTTGCACAGGAAAACCAGCCTGAGGATTTGTTTAAATTTACGTACATCTCCTTGAGATGTTGTAAACGGTTATGTATTGATTTTGCATCCGATATTGCTTCTTTTCTACAGCTTTTTGTTTTTGAAGGCTCGTGTGGGATTATTTATCACGCTTTTCTATGATTTTTTTCCACAACAGTAAAAAGAAAATGTCTCTCAGTATTTTAAGAAGCAGTAGAAGCAGCTAAAGAAGAAAACAAAATAATGTTCAAACTAGAGTGCAGATGAAGTCCAAAATGCACAGAATCATGTGCGTTAATGGCATGAAAAAAAAAAAAAAAAAAGGCCATTGAAAAAAGGATGCATTAATGCACATTAGCACGTTAACATTGACAGCCCTAATTGGAACATTGTTTTTTTTTTTTATGTTCCTGTTGCCAAGCTGTTTTTGATTCATTAGCTCATCTCTTTGTTAAAGTAACACCTATAGTGTAGCTTATTCACTACCTAATTACATACTGGGCTCATGGTTGGGAGTGTGGGTGGCGGGGATACCATGGGAGAGATTAAAGAGAGCGCCACATTTTTCATGAGTAAACAGTTATGCATTATCTCAAATATCTTCTTATTATGATTAGATAATTTTTTGGAAGCTCAGTTTTTTGGGGGTGCTCCCATTGGTACCTGTGGGACTGTACATAACACGTTTACTGCACTCAGTAGAGTAATACGGAAAGTTACATGTTGAGACCAGACCTAACAGTGAGAAATATATAGGTTTCTGTATTTTGGCCAAAGGTGGCAGCATCATTAGAAAGCTGTTTAGTATGTGTTTAGAACAGAAGAGCTAATGATTACTGGATTATCAAATAAACAAATTTAAAAAAAATATTACATTTAACTGAAAATATTGTGCATATAACCACCCCTCCATAAAAAAAACCACACAACTTAAATGCAAATAAAAACGTTGGAGTTGCTCCCACAACGATGTGCAGAACAACGCTCTTCCCTTTGGCTCTTGTTTCTGACCTGGATGTTATTGGAGATGTCCTCAGTGAGGGCCACGTGCAGCACAACCAAAGGCTCTCCTGGCATGGCGGCGTGGGTGAAGGCGTAACACCGTCTGTATGGGCCCACTCTGCGCTTAAGGTCCGTCCAATTCCTTACAGGATGCACCGCCTCATACCTGATAGAAAAGCTCAGTCAGATCTTACCAATTCACATTTTGGCTTTAAAAACCCTGGATCAAAAATACTGTAAGCTGTCTGATGATGAGCGATAAAATCAACCCTTATCAGAAGCATCAACTCGCCAACATCAATGGTGACTAATTCTCATGTCTGTTGCTTCTGTCCGAATATTGCTTGCACAGGTCATGTTAGCTGAGTGAGATTGACGCAATGTACAGGCCTCCATTCATTTACTGCACTGCTGCATGGTTTTAACCTTATATTTCAAAAGGGACTCCTCAGACACTTCAGGCAATGGTGATACACGGAGCAAAAAGCATCTCAAGCAACAACACAAGGGGTCAGCTCAAACTGACACAGTTCTGGGCTTGCAATTAGACCCCTGTCTAAAAAAATAACTGAGTAAAATTCCATGCTTGTATACTTCCACAGCTCAGTGCTGTGGCTCAGCTGGTAGAGCTGCTTATTGGCTAATTGCAGAGTTAGTGGTTGGCTGACAAAAATGGAAGAAGAGAATATATATTTTTTTTAATCAGCCATTTAATAACTTTTCTTGGAGCAGTTACTCTAAATCTGCTCAGTGTTCAGGTGCAGGGTAGGGCCTTCATTAACTCTTCATCAATCAGGAACAGGTCTGCAGTTGATCCTGACAGTGGGGGCTTTTATTTTAATGGGTGTCCTCCACTGAATTACTGAATACAATTCAGAAATCTCTCATCTTAATTACTATCCTATAAGCAAACTTAATAACCACAATCTAGTTTTCCTTAAACTTAATCTGCTGTAAATCTGGTTATATGACCTCAATAAGCAACATCTAACAGCAAATGATCACTGGTTGCTGCATTGGCCTGATGATGACCCTTAAAAGAGAAAAAGAAAAAACTGAAAAAAGGATGGGGGCTGTTTTTGAGTCCTACGGTGTATAGTGGATGAACTAATACAGAAAGAGGATCATCTCAACCAAACTCTGTTACAGTCCTGACTCAAGGGCGAGAGTTGTCGTTTGTGCGACCAGCTAGCCACAAGATTTGTAAGATTTTAAATTAAGCCTTTATTTAGTTGCATAATTGCTAAACCCAGTTTAGACCCAGGCTTTACGTCTGATGCTGTAGCACGCCTTTGTTATTCTATAAAGATTTTACTTTGACTTAAATAAAAGGCCAGAAAAACTGCCTGTGCCCCCCTGAAGGTTTGTCTCTTGAGCAAAGATATGCTTCAATCAGCTCGTTTTAATGACGTTAATTGGTGCTTGTAGTGCATATATAATAAATAAGTCTTAAAACATTTGTGCTTAAATAGGAGACCAAAGATTTTAAACCCTGTTGCAAATCTTACTTGCACTTTTTAATATATAATAAAACATGTGTAATCTGTTTAAGACAGATTTGTCACAGAATTTTAAAAAGAAGCAGTAGGTCTGTTGCTGTTTTCTGCAGAAATGAACACATTTCTGGGTTGAACTTTAAAAAGACAATGTTTGATTTTCATTAAAGTTTCATGACATTATTTCCTGCTTTATTCACCAGAACCTTATGCATAGAAAAGTTCTGGACAATAATTGTGTCTTTCATCAGGACTCGGATAAAAAAAAACAAAAAAAAAAACAAAAAAACACATGGGTAATATGGATCCTCCTTCTTCTACTGCCATTTCAGATCTAAGACCTAAATTATGTAGAAACCAGGCTGAGCTGCCAAGAATAGAGCAGCCAAAAGGAACCAGGACTCTGGACCAGGTAGCGAAGTGATCCCTCTCTGGCTGTGATCCATTAAGTGGTGTCCGACTGGGAAAGAGAACTTGTACAACGGTTCTGGTGCTGCTGAATTTGTAAACAAAAAACGTCTGCTAACCTGAGTCGCTTGCCTAATACTTTAATTTTTTTTTTCAAAATTAATATATTTTACTGTGGGAGATTATCATACGGCTAAAGACAGATTCATTTATTTGTCCGTTTTTTGAGACTTTCCCAGGTTGAGTGCATGCAACTGCACAAACAGAAGAACCGATGATCATGTGGAAAACATGAAGGGTTCCTACTGGCTGATCTTCTGCAGGATCTCACAGGGGGACTGCCAGGTGATTCTTTCAAGTCGGAGCAGACCTACAGAAAACCACTCAGACAGCAGGCTCTTCAGGGTACTGTTCAGGTCCTGCAGGAAGAGAAAAAAACAACATCCTTGTTGAGCTGATATTTAAAACTGTTCCTCTGAACAAGAGCAGCTGTCATTCAAAGAATTCAACAGAAAATTAAATGATGGTGAAGAACATGAAAACAGAGGCCCTTATATGCAACACTGCATCTCTGAAGGGAGAAATACTTCCTGTTCTACCTTTTAAAGAAGCCTGAAATCATTCTTGCAGCTTTAGACATTTTACACGTGTTCTTATATTGCAAGAGCTCCAACTTAGAAACACCATAATATTGCTCTGATTCGCTTATAGCTGGCAGCAGGAAATGAAGTACTCCCGACTCCTATAGCACACATCGTGCCGGCTGCACAGTCCCCTGGCTGTCTGCACGCCGTTTGTTTACACGTTATGAATAGCGATTTACTGGAGCTTGCTATGGACATAGAAGGGGCATTTCAATAAACACCTTGCCATTTCAAAGCACGCTTGTCCTCCAGCAAAGGTCAGACTTCATTTAAAGCAAATCTCAAACCCACAAAAAAGCATATGCAGCCATATGGCACAGCGCGTACATGTGGCCCAGACGGACTGCTCCATAAAAAAGGCATCCCTTCAGGTTTCCTTTAATAGTGGCTTGTCAATCACAACAGCTAATACCAAACAAACAATGGCTGGGCTTTAAAAGCTGCCTTCAAATCCAAATCTGACTAAATTGGATATTCCTCTCCACATGCAGGCATAAATACATCAGGGCCTGCATCACTCGCCTCCACGGCACAGAGATTTAGGAAATAACTTTCTGTTAAGCAAAACTTTCATTCCTACTTGTGTGATGCACGGTGTGTGTGTGTGTTTTTAAAGTTGCCGGAGGTGGAGTAATGTATTTTGCTCTATAATCCAGGCTAACAATTTCTGCTGGGAACGCAGCAGCTCTATAGTAGTAGAGCCGCCGCCGCCTTGGGAAACAAACCTTTAACCACACAAAAGGGAGGTCAAGCTGAGATATGTATTTCATTGACCCTGCAGAAGATGGAGTCTTTAGAAATGGAGGGATCAAAGCCTTGGGCTGGAAAAAGACCGGGCAGCAAAGGAAAGGACTAAAGAAGAAAATCCCTCATTCTGTATGAGGGAAAATGAGGCAGCAGGTTTTCCTGTTGGATCTCTTTCTGTACAATAATGACCCTGACGCTGGGTGCTGATCCCAACTCTAAAACAAGGACCTCCTCTGCCTTATTCTGCAGGAATATGAAGAATAGCGGTAATTAGGAAGGGAAAAGTCTGTATGAGACCATTAATAAAAACTTGGACCTCCGTTAAAGAAGGATAAGTTTATAAATCCTTCACTATTAACTGTAATGTAATTGGAATTCTCAATTTAAAACAATTCCTGGAAATTTTAGGACAACTAAATGAACATTATGGTAGTTTGATTTTTTTAATCTGATGCATTTGTCATTTTTACAGCATTCTGTAGCCCATTAACAGGTTTGTGTTAGTTTCCAATGTATTTTACAGAGAGATTAGGAAAGTTATCAGAAAGTGTAATGAAATTAAATTTAAAAATGTTTTATTTAGGTTGAATTTTTTTTTAGAAATTAGTGGACCTCCGCTTTAGTGCTGCTGAGGAGCAGAGCTGCTGGCTTCACCCTCTTCCTCAGGCTGACAGAGATTTTACGGTTAGATTAAGGGGGCCATTACTTTCTCGCAGGTCCTAGCTGGTTTGGATATATTCTCCATCATTAAAGTAAATCATCATTTAAAAAAAAAAAAAAAAAAAAACTTTAATTTTAAATCTGTTTATCTTTAATTTTAACTTTAACATTTAGATTGGACGGCAAAGCAAAAACAAAAAAAGAAAAAGAACATTCTGTCCTTTAAACCTTTATAACCACTGTCTAAACAAGTGATCACTGAGACCAGGACCTTTACCCCAGTGGGCAACGTGCTCCTTGTCAGCTGGGCTGGCAGCATGTGGAAAAAATAGACCCGCACAGAGGGTTTATGTAACTCCGAAGAGCCAACTAGAAGGGACATCTACTAACATCTTTCATCCTCCCGGTGTGTTAAACTGAATTAGAGGCCCGGAGGCAGACAGGAATAGAAGGAACATCAAAAATAAATCACCTGATCAAGGTTACTAATCTACCGCAAAATTAAAAACTATTTTTTTTTTTGTAAGAACCAAAGATAGTAGTACATGCAGAGCTAGATAATCCAGCCTTCCTTCCTTTGATGGCATTTTAGCTCCACTCTGATAATCATCTCGCTCTGATTTCTCAGCTTATTTTCCAGTCTGTAAACACGTATCATTTTAGTTTTAAAAGCTTATATAACCAAAATGACCTTTCCTTGTTTTTAGCTCAATCAATCCTGGAAATAACAGCAAGCAATGACTGAAAAGCTCCACCAGGACCAAGGTGGTGGCATAGGTGTCGTGTAGGTAGCCAGGACCTTTACTGGTTATACAAGCTCTGTGTGAGCCTGGATGTATCCGAACACCTCACAGCAGGGAAATAATAGACACGGAGCTGAGGGGGACCGGTTATAGCACAGAGGTAAAGTCCTTCACATTTCCCCAGCTGTTTATCATAGAAAAAGGTTTTAATCAAAAGAATGACAAACATGTTTCACTCCATCATCTATCAAAGCTAAAGCCAAAACATTTTAATGCTAATGGACAAAGAGGAACTCCAGAGGAATTCAAGCAGCAGTATCTCATTTTCACCATGTCTGCTTTGGATTTAAATATTTACAATTAGGATGAGATATATGATAGTCAGGATTCTAGCAGGTGCAGAGTTTGCTTTAAATCACAGAACCGAATGTTTTTATGACGAGTTTACAGCCAACAGGTCACAGATGTTATAAAATCAGTTACTTCAGGCCAGAAGACCACTAACAGAAAAATCTCGAACCCCACAAGACACCCACAAATAAAATAAATAAAATAATACAAATTAGAATCAAAACGAAAAATTAATCTGTGTCTAATTTTGAATAAACCTCATTCTTCCTATTTTATTTATCTGCCAGATTATCATATGTTAATCATGTTTATATATTCTTTATCTACATTTTTTAATGAATCTGACTTTAATATCATTCATCTTCTTACATCACAACATAAATGAAATATGAATCAGTTCAACTTGAACTTAATTGCCTTATAAAGTTAATTTTAAGTGTGTAATAATTAATATTCTAAACTGTTTATATCTGTCTTTTTTGTCTCTTCATTCTTGATTCTATTTGATACCACATTTGATCATAATTTTAAAATCCCTTCATTATCTTGATTGTTTTTTTTTAAGTATTTGTAAAATCATATGAAATAGATAACTAAAACAATAAAAAGTTTAGATGAAACAAAAAGCATGATTAGAATCAGCTGCAAATTTATTTTTTCTGTTTAGTCGGTCCATCATTTTGATGATCCTAAAATTGTAAACATGAAATGCAAAAAGAAGAAATCTGTACTTCCTCCCAGCCCTGTACACAGGCAATATTTTAGCAAGAGTAATTCTGTCAAATAGTGCAGGCATGGACTAATAAGCAGACGGTATAAATAAAAGTTAATTTATATTTCTAAGATCTAATTGCATACGTTAAGCACTAGCAAGCCTACCTATAAGCTTTATGGAGTGGATAAATGCTGCTTCACTCTCTGTGCAGAATCAGACTGTAATTATAGTGAACTGAACAATCCAGTGTATGAGAGCAGGTTTTCTGCTCTAGAGTAAAGAAAATGGAGTATTGAGGGAGAAAAAACCCACTAGAGTCAAGTCCCTGACTGTGAGAGAAATGTGGTATTTGTTCTTTCCACTACTTTTTCTTTGAATCCACTCTGCCTTCAAAGGATTCATTCAAAATACTCATTACATGCCTGATTTATATTCAGCTCTTTCAATTTGTACAAGCAGCAAAGTAACACTTTCCTTCTCTTGTGCTCAATCAAACATTGTTAAAGGATCTTTTGCCCTTGTGATACCCTGGAACAAAGTAAGGAGGCATATATATATATATATATATATATATATATATATATATATATATATATATATATCACAGATGTTTCTGTACACTATACCAGCCATTTGGTTATTACATTCCATGTATTCCTTTTGTGACAGTATCTTACACCCTGCTGTGAGATGCTGGATTGTTTCTGGGACCTCTTAGCATAGCCTGCACCTGGGATCTTGTCTGCCGTGTTAGACTCTGCCTCGATTGCTCTGGTTCTCAAGGTTTTCTCCTGAGCTACCATGATCAGTGCTTTTGGTTCTGTCCTTCCACCTTCCACAACATTCCCTGAGTGCTTCATCCCTTGGAGCTATCTTCCTGATGTATTCTAGGAGCTAGGATGTATCATCTTCAGTGGTGGCTCTAATGCTCAGCAGGCCTCTTCCTCCTCCTTTTGCTCCTAGTGCAAAGTCAGTGGATACTGGATTTGGGGTGAGTAGCACTGTGAGTAGCTTTCGTGTTTTAACGTCAGTGGCCTGAATTTTTCCACCTCAGGCCAACGTATGACCCCAGCAAGATATCTGAATACTGGCCAGGTATATATTTTGATTGCCTGGATCTTCAAACCCTCCCCCCAAAAAGTTGACAGGATTCAGGATCGATTGGAAAGATATCAAAATATCTTGTATTGGGGGCAGCCTTAAACAACCTGTATCAGTTGATCTCTAATTGAAACCATATCAGCACTGATACTTCAAATGAAATGCTTATTCCTTTAGCAAGTTCATTCACTGTCACAGAGAAAGTTATTGGGCCCTCTTGGTCCATTATATCTGACAGCACATGGCGCACATGTTTGTCTAACTTTGCTGAATGTTGCAAAAGTTCTTTACAGACTCAAAAAGAAAGAAGTAAGCAGTATTGGGAAAAAAGCTTGGGTTTATGCAGTATTATCTGAACTTGTTTTTTTTTTTTATAACTTAGTGGTGATATCAAAGTCACCATGTAAAGCCATAAGAGAATCTTTGTCAAGACTGTAAAGTAAAGCTGATCATAACAGAAGCCCTCGACCCAATTTGACTGACCTTAAACCTTTGTTTGGAGCAATACACAAATCTTTGAGATATGCAACACATGTCATAAGAGCAAAAGATAGTTATACTAATATAAAACCTGGAGAGGGTGAAAGTATATGCATGCCACACTTTTCAGATGTCCCTTCAATCTTGATAATATTTCTTCTCTTTCATATTTGTCTTTTAATTTATGTTGGTCTGTCTCTTAAAATGCACTGAAATGTTTGCATGTAGTATAAAGCACAGATATATAACACGTTTTCTAAGAAATTAGAATTGGGGCAAAGGTCCCATCATGCATCTCAGCCAACCTGTGATGAAATCTGAACCACGTGACCAGTGACCACACATACAGTTAGAAATGCATCATCACATGCAAGGTTTCTAGTTCTTTGCTAATTGCAGCAACACGTACGACACAGTTTGAGTCATCCGAGCACCCGTAGCTAAAGTAAACAAACACATTACCCTGATGTGTGGACTTTCGCTTGCTTTAGATGTGAGGATTTCCAGCAGATCAGCACGGAGATCCACCAGGAACTTCACTCCACCTTCAACCCGGCTTACATGGCTGAACAGCTGCTTGTACCGCGGCGTCAAGCTGTACCGGAGTCTGTCCTCAGCTTGCAGAATGGTCGCCTGGTCCCGCCGCTGAGTGTCCAGTAACTTCACAGCAAGTTCTGAAACCAGTTTATGATCCACTCCGCACTCCTCTGACAGCTTGGACAGAAAATCCACCTTGTCTTCCTTTTCGAGACCTCTATAGAAGTTCATGAACTCTAAACTAGTCGATTCGGGCGGAGGTGGGAATTTGTCTCTCGTTTCATATGAAGGTAAAGGTACAATGACCCTCGCCAATATCTCCTCCATAACCGAGACACTGCTTCGAGTGGGAGCAGAGTACCAGCGCCAGCTGCCGACGCCTGAGGCTCCTGGAAGCCCTTTAAACACGGCTCGGTGTCGCCAGCACCTCACACTAATTCGGACAGCCCAAGTAACAGGGTTGGATATCATTGCAGAGACAATCCCGACACAGCTGTCCGTCAATTCACACGCAGCGAATGCCAGAAAGGATCATTTCCGGGTTTCTTAAAGTGACAGTACACATTTGCGGAAGAGGATTAGGGCCACTGAAAAATGTAAAAAAGATTACTGATTTTTAAATATTATTTCAGTTTAATATGGGAATAAAGTTATGTTGTAGAATACTGTTTTTCTCAGAATTCTGACTTTTTTTTCCTGAATTATGACGGCTAACAAACATGTTATCATCAAGTCATAGCCATGTCTGTTTTAGAGACTACCTCTCTTGTTTTAATCACCTTCTGCTCCTCCATTAATGAGATAGCATCACCGGGGACCCCTCAGGCACGTAAAAAGTTGCCTAATTTTGTCATTTTTTTCCCCAAACAACTCACATCTTTGTCAGTGAAGCTGAGTGCTCTTCCTTCATTGTGCCCATCTACATTAAGATCCAAAATTCTGAGATTAAAGTCAGAATTCTGAAAGAAAAAAAAAAGTCAGAATTCTGAGATTAAAGTCAGAATTCTGAAAGAAAAAAAAAAGTCAGAATTCTGAGATTAAAATCCGAATTCTGACTTCTTCT